AAAAAACTTGTTTGGACTCCCATCATACTTGTCTAGCAAACTAACTAAATCTTGCGAAGTTCATGGGAGGCTTACAAGACATAACCATAGATTGGTAGTTCCTAAGCATCGTACCGCTACTTTTAAAAAATCTTTTAGTTATAATGCGGCTAAAATTTACAATAGTTTACCAGAGGAACTAATAAATCTAGCAACTGTTTCAGCCTTTGTGAGGGGGTCGAAGAAGCACATGTGCAATAAGAGATCGTAAATACATAATATGTGAAATAACCTTGAAGTGTATACTGTTTTATGTTAGACTATTTTTTTATAAAAAGATACATTTATCTATTCCGTTGATGGGGTGGTTGTATAGAAGCAACTTGGTTGGATATCGCCACTCATATATGAATGTATGTAAATTTAATTTAAAAAATCTGGAAATAAAGGCATTTTTATTTATTTATTTGTTTATTTGTGGACCTACAAAAAGGTATTAGAACAATCCAACATCAATCACACGTATATAACGGCACTTAAAGAACTACATAAAGACTCAAAATCAAAAATTAAGATAGGTAAAAAACTCACAGACGCGTTTATAGTGAATAAAGGACTACGCCAAGGATGTTGTATCTCTCATACGCTTCTTAAAATAAACGTAGCAGTAGCACTGCAAAATTGGAAGAGGAAGATCCATGGAATGTATATAGAGATATAGAGGTGCCTATTTACTCTTCAGTTTGCAGATGATCTGGTCATAGTGGCCAGTGACAAAGAGGACATGCAATATATGATTTGAAATGAAAGCTGATAGAAGAGTACCAAGAGAGTTAATATAAATAGAACAAAATATCTATGTGTAGGCACTTAGAACCAAAAACTTGGAAGTGGACGATGGTCAGGTCAGGAAATTTTGCAATGTCAAGTATATGAGTATCTAGGTATCACATTCGACAACACCGGAACAGACGGGAAAGAGATAGAAAAGCGAATAGTTAAAGCTGAAGAAGTAATAGGATGCCTGAGTGGAATCTTATGGAGCAAGGAAATAACAAAGAATAGAAAATTCAATATATACGAGACAATGATAAAGAGCAGCAGTTGAAATGGATGCTATTAGAATCTCACGAAGAGAGAGAATAAGGAACGACAATATAAAACAACAAATGGGAATAGAAGGCATGATAGTTCAGGACATTGAAAGGAAACAACTTACCTGGTACGGACACCTAGAACGAATGCCAAATACCAGGTGGCCCAGAAAAATGCTACATTGGCAACCAACAGGTAGAAGAAAACGAGGAAGACCAAAACTGGAATGGCAGAAAACCATACAAAAGTTCATGAGTGAAACAAATCCCTCATCAGAGGATTGCGATGATAGAAGAGGATGGAAATTAGGTGTCGGACAAGGAAGAAAGGCGTTCTAAAACGACATATACGGAAGATTTAATCTGTGAATGCCCTGCTCACTTCTGCAAAAGGCTGAAATACCTTGAAGGGGTACGGCTAACACCCCAAGAGGTGGGCACTTTACCACCCAGGAAGCTGACCTCCTTTGAGAGAAGCCTATGAATCTTGGACACCAACTAGAAGCAGAGTCACGCAGAAAATATCTATATATAAAGGTAGCAGTGCTTGAGCGGATGGAATAAGCTGTAATAACTCCTAATGCAATCTACAATCCTTGGATAACACAATGTACCTGCCACTTTGAAAGAGTGATTAAGTTCGTTTTGCGCAGAACTCACTTGGTAGACCTAATTGGTATGATACTTGGAAGATGTTACTGTAAATGGCAAAGATTACGATGCACATTTGTCGAATTAAAAAAAGATTTTTGTCAGGATTCGAACCGAAAACCTTACAACTGGCCGACCTAGTGGTGTGGCGGATCAGGGATTCTAATTAACATATATGAGGTCAGAAGCATTCTAAGACTCTGAAGTTCTACCACCGGTTCATCAAGGAACAAGTGCTCCAGTTTTAGCGAATCCCATGGAAGAAGTCCTGAAGACACCGAAGCTTAGAAAAGTGGAAAAGGTGCTGTTCTGCCTGACATTCAAAATTGCCAAAGAGCAGTCACCGGATATCGCAGTAAATCGCTGGAAGAGGCACAGAGAAATTATAGAGATCTATTGAACATATAAATTTTCTTTGTGTAACAAAGTTCCTCGTTAGATCTGTCCATTATGCCTTGCGGCGGCTGCTCAGATTAGAAACTCAGAAAGTGGCGCGTTGGTTCGTAAAATAACAAAGTTACGACTTCCAAATCATCGAAAAAAATAAAGTCATGTCTATCACAAAGACCCTGTATTGATAACTCTTAAAAATTTTGCCAAATGCCAAAAAATTCTGGACTTATTTATACTAATATTGAAGTGGACATTATCAAAGAAGACAAAAAAAATGCTCGGATAGCTACAAATTTCCAGATTTAGTCAAACTGACTTAATGGAATTCGTTGTGCCTAAAAGATGATTTTTTTTTTTAAATTTAATTTCGAGCCCATACTCTACACTGTAGCCTTTATAGGCTTTTTGTATTTCATTTGTATGGACTCTACTCCTTCTCATTCATACTTCTCATTCATACTTGGAGATCAGATGATTGGCGGCAGCGCGGGCGACCTACCGTCCCGTACTACTGCGGTCACCCATCCAATCTCCATCCCGACACTATGTTGCTTGGCTTGAGTAGGCCGTCTCTCACGTCCTGGATCAAGAACCAACGTGCCGGTCTGCAAGATGATACTTTCACTCCTACATGAGAGAGTCTAAATGGGAAAAGCCCTCAGTAGCTGATCTCAGGGGGGTTACCGTGCATATATATTATGATTCCTGAGATGTTGGCTAACGAATATGAATGGAACAAGATATTCGCCAAAAAAAAAAACAAATGAGAGAGATAAGGAAAATCATGCGAAGAAATAAAGACACACCAACTTTCTGAGGAAAGAGGAAATTTCTTCGAACGGGACCAGACGAAAATCAAGGAAGCAGCAGGGGAAGGTTTGTTGACTGGGTGGAGTCCTACACTTATGAAGCGTCCGAACGCCGAAATCCTAGAACATCATTGGAACAGGGTGTCACGTGAACTGCGAAGTAGTCGGAGTGATAACCAAATTGGAGTCAAGAGGACATCAGTCGGTATTACTGGATAATTTGCTGGGAGGATGTTGGACAATGGTGCAGGAGATGCAACCTCTGTGCTTCTAAGAAAGGATTCGAGACATGATGTCAAGTAGGAATAGAGTAGTACCTGGTCTGGATCCCCCCGCGGTAGATATCGCACAGATTCATAAAATTAGTACCTTACCATTATCATTTCTTAAAGTGCCCAGAAGTAGTACCAATCCCCAATTAAGGAGCGGTTCCAGTTGCGGAATCAGATACAGATCGAATTTTTGGCGGATCATCAAACGATGAAGTCAGAGCTGTATTTCCAATTTATCCAGGCTCAAGGTGAACTAAGCCCGGAACAATGCACTCCTTGATTCCAACGATTTGGTTTACAGGATTCAATTTTCGCCGAAAAGCAAGTTAAAGCTCGCTTTCGTAAATGAGCCGGCCCCATACAGAGAACGAATACAGCTGTCTTTGGCGAACAGCTCTAGAAAGCGGGCAGTGTTATAATTCATGTAAAGTGCGATGTTGCCGGGGATGGCAACATAGAGCTTAGAATACCAGAGCAATATATCCGATGTCTGGCGGAATCGAGAATTTATTGTTAATGGAATAATTCAGCGAATTAGGGAATAATTGAGAATCGCCGTTTATCGGAAATTCCAGGAAGGGAATTATCTACAAAATTACAGAAGGATCGTAGTGCTTCAAAAAGGAGTCGGCCACCTCAGGACATTTAGTGGAACGGCTCGATAATTCCAAAATAAGTTGATCAGTTATAGTTATGGAATCTCGTGAACAGTTAAGCTTAACTTGAGTCGTACAAAATGATGTTTTTTTTTGTTGTTGTGATGTTCATGTTATTTTTAAATAAATTTATGACTAGTTCCACATATGCGAATTCGCATAATACGTAGCAATACTTTAAAGAAAATAAAAAGCAAATAGCTGAGAAACTGACGTTTATTTTATTGTCATATTTTATTAAGGTAATTTATCGTTTTAGGGGCAATATAGATATACATCTATAGGTACATCATGATCTTGGCTATTTCGATTACCCTTTGGACATTGGGAAAATTTATTGCCTGGTTTCGTTAAATTACCTACGTCAACAGACAACAACTGGATTACGTTTTCTCCCCAGAGATCAAAAAGTATATCCGTTGGTGCATGAATTTCAGGGAGACAGCTTTAATAACTCCGAATATGTAAAATGTAAATATTCTGTGTGATGCTACGAAACCAACATTTGACTGACGGTTTTCGTGCAGGCAATTCAAGTTTTAGTGTACCTATGCCAATAAAAATGTTACATGTTCGCATATTGCCACAACTCTTTGAAAAAAAAAAATTAAATAGTCAACCTATTATTCAGATTCTCCTTTATAAAAATTAATTAGTAATAAAGTTTCCAAAAAGTAGATTAAATCCCAAAGCTGTAACTTTGTAATGTTGGGCTGCCCTACAGCAAACCGCCATAAAATAAATCAATTTTAAATCGCGAGCGAAATTCTAAAAAAAAAGGCTTCGTTTTATACGATGTTTCCACAAAATTTAATATCCTCGACTTTTATGAAAGGAAAAACAGTAAAGGTACGTTTTCTTTAGTTGGATAAACAAAAAATAATTAATGTTCATGCTGATGAGATAATAAAAAATTGTTTTTTTTTCAGAAAGCTCTTAAGCTCAATGATTATAATTTGATTTTTTATGATACACACTTTATTATCAAATGCAATAAAAATGCTACTAATGTAAGTTTAATGTGATTTTGGCTCGACGTGGATAAAATATAAGATTCTGCGGTAACCTTCAATCACGTACCAACAAAAGTAAATTTTCCCCTAGGGTATATATATCAGCGGTCTTAAAACTAGGTACATTACTTACCGCCTCACAACAATCAAGATCCAGGAGGTAAACCGCACAGCGCTCACATTTGAGTAAATCTTGAGCTTCCCTCATTATTTTAGTAACCAGACATTCCAGATTATTTTGTTCCTCGAAAATGCTTCTTGCTAGATTGAGAAGGATCTGGAATGAAAAAAACGGGAAGGTTTAACAGAATCTTTCGGTGCCTGATATAAATTAGATTCCAAACTTTTTCTTTTTTTTTTATAAAATTTTATCATGGAGCGTAGAGGAGGTAAATAGAAAAAAATCCAGATTTATCAGACTTTTAGGTTCTAAAAAGGTTCTCGAAACAGTCAAAGGTAAATTTATTACGACAACATCGCGAGAGTTTTTTTTTCTGGAACAAAAATAAAATATTGGCTGACAGAATTCGAAAAAAGGAAGATTTGCGTTTTATTAAACTTTCTATTTCCATCTACCCACAAAACAACCAAGCCAAACTACAATCAGGCAACGAAAAAAAAAAAAAACAATTTCAAACTACGTCTGTTGGTGGAATGAAAAAAAGCGGCTATAACAGGCCAGAACAAATTGCACAATAGCTTGAGAGTGCTGCTAAAGTCGCTTTCGTAACACAAACGATGCTATTATTTATTTAAGATGCTCGGTTTAATGTTGGCAGTTTATAACACTCAACATTAGTTCTTGTTTCGACTATGACTGCGCCAGACATAATTATAAATGACGTTTAATTTGGGAAGAACTATAATAGAATGGAATGCGTTTAGGACCAGGTAATATTCTTAATTTTTTATTTTACATTTGCTCCGCTTCAAATTTAAGTCTGTTCGAATTTACTAGAACTAGGTCATGAGCGCGCTTCGCGCGCTTTTTTTTTTAAATCAAGTCCATCAAAATAATTATAAAATGGAAAATATTTATTAGGTAGGTGTTGTACAAAAAACAGCATAATTTTTGATTTAAATGTACATTATACATTAAATGTAACAGTGAGATAAGTTGTATAGATGTTATTCTAGTGAAGAAATTTCAAATGCGATGGATGGAGTTGGTGACTAATTATTTTTGTATGGTATATCATAATGATTTTAAATCGATCACATTTCTTGAATGTACGGTGTGCGTATGTCTACTTATCTCATTCTGTTTTATGGAACTCGTAGGTGTAGGTATACATTATTCGAAGTGGTTTATTTAAAACAGAATAATCATAACCATAATCAAGGTGTTATTATAAACCGAGTTAGTAACTATTTATGTGCTGTGGTATAATACGAGATATCGAGTCTTAATTTTTTTTTTACATTTTCATGAAGTTCCTTTTTTTTTATTAGGCCAGTTATTGAAGTCTACTCGATCAACATTTTACTGCAAACAATCGAAAAAAAAAATTTTTTAAAAGATTTTAAATTTAATTGCTCAATTATTCAACTTACATTTTTTGTTTGTACCTACGTGGTAGACATAAATTTTAAATGTGATCAAAGTAGTTGGTGAATTATTACTTTTGCGGTACATCGTAATGACTTTAAATCAATCTTATTTTTTGAATATACGGTGTGCATATGTCCAGTGGAACTTATTCTATTTTATGGAACTCGTAAGAATCCAAAGTTTAAAGAGTGCTAAGTCTTCATGTCGTTCTTCGTTATTTTCAATCATTTATGTTTATCCTGTTCAGGTTTTTGTCTTGTGATCTTCAAATATCTTGTAAATAAGTTGTAAAGATCTTCTGAAATCACCTATGACTGCGAAATTTCAAAATTAAATTATCAAAAAAACAATTCTTTAAAAACATGGTTTTTGACAACACTATTGCCTCTTTGTTTCCCTGAATAAAGTTTGAATGAGTCCCACGAACGAACTCTGAAAAGCGCCACATAAAGTTGTCCGTGACTAATACATCCTTTCTGGAGATCAATTACTATCCTATCAAATGTTTGTCCTTGAGATTTGTTAATCGTAACTCATTGCAAAGGCTAATTTTATTTTAAAATTGTCTTTGTTTGAACGTAAAGGGGTAGACGTTTTCGCAGTAGAGTGTTATTCGATTTATGAACACTATTTCTCCCTGTTTATCTACAGTCAATATCTCACAGCGTAACAGATTATCCCCAAGTTCCAGAACTAAAGGCCTTGTGCCATTGCAAAGGCCTGCACTGATGCTTAGATTTCTAATAAGCATACAATAGAATTCGTTTTCAATCGTAAATCATGGAGCGGGAATTCGGCGGATTAAGCGAATTTAAATATTTTGGAAGAATAGCATCATTTAGATCACTATTATCACAGTTCTTGACACTATCTATACTGGTGTAGAGTTTTTCGGTCTTGACGTCCAACAGTTCGACAACTTATTCGTTTATTTCTTCGACATCAACATTTCTTGCAGAAAGTATTGCAGATTTGGTCAAGTCCCTGAATCTTCCTTCTTTTAGTATTGTTCGTCGACTTTTCGTATGAGGAGCGAGGGGGTGAAGCGAAAACCAGGGGTGACCTTAGGTGACCATTGGCGTTCAAATGTAGGGTGCCACCAGCTCACATTCCTTTCGAGTATTAGATTAAAATCGACGGACTTTACTTCTCATAGATGTTTTCAACAATATCCGAATTATCAATACATTTCTCCGACAATTTTAGATTGTCGTTAGAATCATTTAGTGTTCGTTATCGCATAAAAATGGCTCAATTTCAGCAATAAGTGCTTAATATTGGCCTTTAAGGCGGCAACCGTTCGAGATTTGTCAACATAGACTTTGGATTTTAGAATGCCCAGAGAAAAAAATCCAGTGACGTTAGGTCGGCCAATTGTGGATTCTGAAGGACGATCGTTGACATCATAAATTGCACGGAGTGCACGAAACGTTTTCCGAATAGAACATTGGTTTTGATAATGATAATAATTTTTAACAATTCCGACGCGTTGCTCAATCGTGTAGCGCTCCATAATAAAATGCAGAGACTAATTGAATACGGCTGCCAAAGATAGCACCTGTGTGACTATCGAGTTTTTCATGGGCTATTGTCAAACATCGAGCGTTACTATTGGAAAACCCTATACATACCTAGATTCTTCTATTGGACCTAGAAAAAATATTAAACCACTTCCTTGCTTTGAAAAACAACCATCTACAGAGCAATATCTAATAGCACAGCTAATAGGCATATTGTCAGAGAATTGTCACATAAGTAACAAATTCACAGTCCTTCACAAAGATGCAACCGAGGAGAACATTGAAAATGCCGAAGCAAACTTCAACGCTAATGCTTGTGATTATTGTGAGCTTTGAGATCCGCTAAAATTCAACCCTTTCCAGATTTTCCAGAATTTTTCCGACCCAATCCAGAAATTTCCATGCGTTTTCCAGACGTTTCCAGAAATTTCCAGACTTTATCCAGATTTTTCCAGACTTAGCTAGACTTTATGCAGACTTGTCAAAATTTCTCCAGACCTTATCAAGCCTTTTCCAGAGGTTTCCAGACATTTCCAGACTTTCCCAGACTTTATCCAGACTTTTCTAGACTTGGCTGGATTTTTCCAGACTTTATCCAGACTTGTCTAGATTTCTCCAGACCTAATAGAGCCTTTTCCAGACGTTTCCAGAAATTTTCTGGCTTTTCCAGACTGTATCCAAACTTATCCAGACTTTTCCAGATTTAGCTAGACTTTATCCAGACTTGTCTAGATTTCTCCAGACCTTATCCAGCCCTTTTCTGACCTCTCCGGACTTCTCCCAAACACTTTCCCGACTTCAAATACACTTTTCCAGACTTTATCCAGACTTGTCTGAATTTCTCCAGACCTTATCAAGCCTTTTCCAGACGATACCAGAAATTTCCAGGCTTTTCCAGACTTTATCCAGACTTTTCTAGACTTGGCTAGATTTTTCCAGACTTTATCCAGACTTGTCTAGATTTCTCCAGACCTAATAGAGCCTTTTCCAGACGTTTCCAGAAATTTTCTGGCTCTTTTCCAGACTTTATCCAAACTTGTCTGAATGTCTCTAGACCTTATTAAGCCTTTTCCAGACGTTTCCAGAAATTTCCAGGCTTTTCCAGACTGTATCCAGATTTTTCTAGGCTTAGCTAGATTTTTCCAGACTTTATCCAGACTTGTCTAGATTTCTTCAGACCTAATAGAGCCTTTTCCAGACGTTTCTAGAAATTTTCTGGCTCTTTCCCAGACTTTATCCAAACTTATCCAGACTTTTCCAGACTTAGCAAGACTTTATCCAGACTTTATCCAGACTTATCTAGATTTCTCCAGACCTTATCCAGCCCTTTGACCTCTCCGGACTTCTCCCAAACACTTTCCCGACTTCAAATACACTTTTCCAGAACTTATCCAGACTTGTCTGAATTTCTCCAGACCTTATCCAGCCTTTTTCCGACGTTTCCAGAAATTTCCAGGCTTTTCCAGACTTTATCCAGACTTGGGTAGATTTTTCCAGACTTTATCCAGACTTGTCTAGATTTCTCCAGACCTAATAGAGCCTTTTCCAGACGTTTCCAGAAATTTTCTGGCTTTTCCAGACTTTATCCAAACTTATCCAAACTTTTCCAGACTTAGCTAAACTTTTTCCAGCCTTATCCAGACTTTATCCAGACTTGTCTAGATTTCTCCCGACCTTATCCAGCCCTTTCCTGACCTCTCCGGACTTCTTCCAAACACTTACCCGACTTCTATTATGTATAAGTAATTGCCTATCTATGAGTCGGCACTCAATGTATGCAAAAGCGGTAACAACCTTGAACTAACATAAACATATCGATTTTATATTCCGATTGCCTTATTTGCATAATTAAAGCGGTGACAACCTTGAACTAACATCTCGATTTTATAGTCAGAAAAAGCAATACTTGATGTTGTAAGACAGGGATAAATGTAACAAGAAAGCATGTAAACCTAGAAGAGATAGTTACGGACAAACCTACCTATTGGATATCGGATAGAAATAAAATTTCCTGATATCAAATAATTTCTCCATTAAAACCACTTTACAGTTCGCTTTTTTCACTCCCAAGGAGAAACCTTTCAGGGTCCTTATTCTTGAAACAGGGGAGTAGCGTTCCCAGGAGAACGAGTGTTCCGTCTTTGTTACTTATATTATCATTTGCATATCATCGAGAAAGACGAAACGCTCGTTCTCCTGGGAACGTTGCTCCCCTGTTTCAAGAATGAGGACCCAGGGATTTTTATGATGAGCATGCGCACATCCATCTTTCTCAGAGGATTTCTTGCGCTTGCAGCAAATAGCTCCGGACCTATTTTTCTAGCACTTGCATGTGCAAGTTTCAATATTTTTCGTGTTGGCAACTGTAGGACATAACCTCGAAAAGTTGTCAGTAGAGTTTATTTACCTTTAAACTATTTATAATTATTTGTTTGGATTTTTGAATAAAATAGTTTGCTTTCAATTCATTTAGGTCTGGAGACATGCAGGGAAAATTACTTTAAAAATGTATTTTTCAGTTCCTCTAGTTTTAATAATGTATTAGTTCTTATGTATAAAATAATTGGTCAATTAGTTAAAGCTTTCTATTCTGCATATTATAGTTTTCCTTCTCCTATTTTTCATTAAAACAAACTTCGTTAAGTACTAGATTATTGTACCCATTTTAAAACCCCTATTCAACAGCCGCTGGAGAACGTGACAAAAGCTCACTGTTACTTCCCGGACAACGATTAGTTATTATCCTACTTCATTTCCGTATTATTTATTAGTTGTTGACTCTTTCGAAACTGAAAAAAATTAGCTGGGAAATTTAACCTTTTGAGCCACTACCATAAAATAAGCTTGATTAGTGTTAGTAGACACTTTAAGCAGGTCCTGAATTTCAAACGTATCCGTATCCGCATCGATCTGCGCATGCGCGTGATGGATATGATGGTTTAGAAAGGAAAAAGGTTTTAGAAAACGTTCATCCAAGGATACGATCGCTCATGTAATGTATGACCATGCTTAAAAGGACTTTTAGGCGATCAACGTAAGTCGATGCGTTTACGGATGCGCATACGGATAAGTAGAAAAATTTAGGGTTTGCTTAAAGTATCTAGTGTCACAGCTAGCGCTTACTAGAAGAGCAACAGCATTCATTTTTCTTTTTTTTAGGTTTAGGTCCATGATCTATCTGACTCTTTCAACTTACTTTGAATTTGGAACTCATCTACAAATAACCATTCCGAAAATTCTAGTTATCGGGTATAGGTACGGTTGATAAATAAGTACGAATACGAGTTTAAGGGCGATTTCTCTTATTCTATGCCCAAGGAGGTTAAGAACGTTTTTGGGGAGTCCTTCCTAAAGACTCATGCGATGTTGGCAGATTGTAGGTACCCTGTTAGTAGGAATTGGAAACTCACAGATTCAAAACAATTCTGGACTGAGATTACCTTGTGGAAAAAAAAATCATGTCCTTCATGAGAACACAAATGGAAACGGAAGGGTTAAGAAAAAACGTACATTTTTGCGCAACATCTCGCGACATTTACCTCCATATATGAGTGATATAAATGGGCCAACTGACACCCAGAAAAAAAAGCTTCCTTCGGCAGAAGTTTACGTTTCCTGGAGACAAACCAAGATGTAGAGTCACGTATGTACAAAATATCTGCAAAGATAGTAGTGCTGAGCGACTGAAAAGCCGAAACGACTCCCCCCATAACCTATCTATCTGAAAGAACTAAATGATAAATTTAATTAAATCCTCCGGTATACAAAAGGTTAGAAACGTAAATAGAACTAGATGAAATCCAGAAGAAGCTCCGAGGTTTGTTAATGACTGGTGGAGTCGCTGATCTCCCAGGGTCATTATTCTTGAAACAGAGGAGCAGCGTTCTCAGGAGAAAGTTTGTTGCGTCTTTCACAATGATATGCAACTGATAATATAAGTAACAAAGACGGAACACTCGTTCTCCTGGGAACGTTGCTCCCCTGTTTCAAGAATAAGGACCCTGCGGTCAACATGTATACACCCCTGGGAGATCAACGGATACAGCCCTCCACTTAGTTGCTGGGCGATTGGAACTATAGTTGAATAGAGATTCCACCCTCGGGGTATTCATCGACATTGTAGGGGGGGCTTTTGACAAAACCACCTTTCGAAAAATTGGCTAGTCGCTAACAGAAAGGAATATTGTTACCGAATGGATAGTACCGTTGAATTATGCTTTCCAAAAGAATCGTACAGATAATTGAGCAGGACGTCAACCTCAAAGGAATGGTCACACCTCTTCTGTGTCACATGGTTCTGGACAGCCTCATTGTCCGCCTAAACAATGACAACCACTACACAATAGCTTACGTAGGTGACGTAGACATCTTGCAAGGAGGTGAAGGCGAGAACTCGCTCTTCGAACGCATGCAAGATGCTCTTTGAATAGACTCTGGCCATCAACGCCGAAAAGACTGAAATGGCCCTATTCACAAACGACAAGAAACTGGTACTTCCGCCGGCTTTCAGATACTGAACTAAGCTTTGCTGTCGAGGTCAAATATCTAGGACTAACCCAAACTAACTTGGAACTCTCATATCACTAAGAGAATACAGGAAGTATATATCGCCTATGAACAGTGTAGACCTACCATCGGTAAAACCTGGGGGTTCTTCCCCAAGCTAGTTATGTGGCCATCATTAGGCCTTTGCTTACCTATGGAGCTATTGTGTGGGGTTATGAAGACGAGCAGACCACTATTAGCCGAAAACTAGACCACGTTCAAAAAATTACATGACTCAACATAACGGGTTCAATGAAAACCACAACAACTAGGGCTTTGGAAGTACAATCCGACTTTTACAATCTACACAAAGGAATGTGAGCTGGTGGCTCGGTGGCTCCCTACGTAAGCACGCCATTAACTGGCCTAGCACCTGTTTTCGCTGTATTCTTCCTTCTCTGGCCCCTCATACAGAAAGTGTCAAATTAAAAAAGCGAGACATTAATTCTATGTGTGACGCCCCTGGACACTTATGTAAAGAAGGTTGCTTTGACTATAATGATGCGCTTTCGCGTTGTTAGTAAAGAACCAAGTGCAGAAGTCGGTTTGCAGAGAGCCAGCATATGACGCAAGGCAACGAACTCGTTTCCACTGTTGGAAGCCAGAGTAGACTCTGCAAGACCATATTCCGTCTTCAAAAATCACTACGCAATCAACACGAAAGGCATTGTTAATAACACAGTGACAGGGGTAAGTAACATCTACACTGAAGGATCCAAAATTGAAACAGGCCAGGAATCCGGAGTATACCAAAGCCCTCAAACTGAACGTAATAAAGCTCTCGGCCCCAGAATCGGCCAATCAAACCCATCCCTACAAGAAATCAGAGACACCGCCCTCGGCGACGTCATCGTCTACCTTAAATTGCTAGGCTGGATGACGAGCTAAGCATGACTCCTCTTATGGAGGCGCCAACTGTGGCCTAAGTGCTGTGGCATACCACTTTCCCAAACTTACAGATACAGACACAGAACTGGTGGTAATTCAAGGAAAAATTGAAAAATGGGTTAGGAACGTAACTCCTATCTCAAATGCATTCTGTGTCAACTAAGTCAGTGCAAAACAGCTCAGATCATCATAATATTCATGATACCTAAGCCCACTTTCTACAAAAATCTTAACCTCAAAATATTAAAATCTCTATTGGAAGAGCGAAAGTTGAATTCTAATCTAAGTCTCGAAATTGACTTGAATGAATACATCGTGTAGATCCGAAAAACAGTGATGATTTTGCAATGAAACGCTTCTGCTGGGTTTCTGGACGTGAACCAGGCCTTCAATAAGTAAGATGGGCTCAAAGATAGACCTTTCGTATCACCATTATATATTCCTGGAATTTTATTTACGGAAACAGGAATTTCTTCATCAAACATCAAACAAAATAAACAGAAGAAAGTGTCCCATTAGTTTCCTTGTTGTAACCTTTGGCAACGTTACAGGGGCAACGACATCTCACCAGTGATAGCCGCCCAGAATTCACAAATGAATTTGAATAAGACCCAAAGATAGCCTTAAAATAGGCGAATAAACGTCAACGAAACAAAATCATCATACTCGCTTATGATGCTCCATACTTGCATGTCTCCAACTTAACGGTAGGCTAATTTAGCAAAACCACATAGATTCAAAGTAAACATCTAAGTCTGAAATTAAGACAAATGCACTAATTGAACGTACCTGAATCTCAATTGGCGAATACCTATGAGAAAATTATACAAAGCCAGAATGTACGAGGATTGTGAACCAAATTGAACGATCTTTTTCGCATCTTTTCCATTAGCGATTACCACACAATAAACTTGACTGAAACTAACTTATCGAGTGATTTCTTGGATGCCGAGGGCATGGCGGATTATGTAGTATTTCCGAGGAATTAATCTTTGGAAACAATAATAGATGGATACTAAAATAAAATAAAAATCACTTGATGTTTTTGTGTTGTGTTTTGTGTGTTGTCAGTCTAGTTTATATGCAAGAAGGAAAATAGTTGTTGATGAATAAAACTGTTTCTCATTAGAGCATGGCTGACCATACCTGATTAGTTTGGATTTTGTTTATCTCATATCCAAATTTTTGATTCAAGTTATGCATTTTGCGTGACTTTTAATCGAACAGCTAAAGCTAACATTATTAAGTACTGCATGACACTAACGGTATTTTTTATCCATATCTTTCTACTAGAATACAACCTACACTGACTCTTCGTAAAACAATAATTCAAAATACTATATTTTTTTAGATACAAAGTTTTAGGCATGTTATCATATCAACAAATCTATATTCAAAACAAACAAAATAAAACCTATAGAACTGACCTGATTTCGTTTATACTCCAGCACAGACACTTCGAATAGCTGAGCATTCTGGATGCCGATTCCGCAAAATGTCAAATATCGTTGAAAAACTTCGACATCGTGATTGGAAAACTCCGGAGAATTGTCAGTTTTGTTGATAATCTGAGCCACACCGATGACATCTCCTTCGTAGTTGCATATTGGCATGCATAAAATGATGTTCGTTTTGTAACCGGTTCGAAGGTCGACTTCGTTGTTGAAACGTGGATCCTGAAATGAGAAAGAATTGAATAGCATAATATTATTGGAAGTATTTAATATAGTCGTTATAGCCCGTTATAGATCTAGTGGAGTAAAATCGCTTCTCTTACTCGCTGTTTTTTGAGGGTGGGTGATTCCGAGGTATAACCTAATGGAACCTATACCATCCTGGGGCATTGGAAATGGTATTTTAAAATAGAAAACTGCGCTCAAACGCGACTGAGCCTAATTTGGAAAAACTTTACGTTATTCTTATCTGATTTTTTTGCAGACTTATACTTGAAACATGAGCGCTTCCAATTGTGTGTTTAAATTTTTGAAAATGATTTATGTTTTTGAAAAAATGGGTAAGGCATATAGAATTAGGTGCATCCAGAAAATTCAGTGAATTTTTAAAAATCTCTATACACTGACGAAGTTAAAAATGAAATAAAGTCGCTAGCTTCAATAGTTATAGACATATGAATTTTTATTGAAGATACTTGGAATGAATGCGCTCGGTCAAATCCATGTACTACGACGAAAGTAAATAAACAGGAAAGCTTGAGATGAAATTAAGCAAAATCTTCCAAACTTTATCGAGACTAGTAAAAAAGTTTTTTCCGGGCTATAATGCCGTGGTCTAGTAATATTTCTACCTAACATTTATTTCGTCTACTGCTGCGGTAGACATCTTCAGAGGCGGTGTGGTAGCGGACGAAGTGTTCTCTTCCGTATTCCTCGGATGACTGGATTCAACGTAGTTGGACCTGCGTTATTTATATCCAGGGGCGTGGCTTGTATTACGCTATTTCCCTTGTCTCGTTCTCGGAAAGGAAGGGTCTTTGTTTTTCGGACAACTAACAACCAGCTTTTCTTAAGGTCCGTGCCCTCTTCTATTCTGTGGTGTTTCTGTATCTCTATGGCTCCTCTGTGGAATCTGGTGATTCTATCCAATGTTTGTTCGAAATGAATGTCATGGTTTGTTTGTGTTAGCACGTGTTCGGCGATTGCTGCCCTATCTATTTGTCCCTTTTGACAGCTTCTTTTGTGCTCTTTGATCCTGGTGTTGATAGAGAGTTTGGTTGTTCCTACATAAACAGATCCACAAGAGTAGGGAATTTTATAGACGCCAGCAGTTTCAACAGGTGCCCTAGGATCCTTGATTAATCTGCTTTCCTAGGGAAGAAAGGCTCTCCCTGCCACCTGTTCTGGTTCCTTATTATTTGTGCGCTGTTACTTCCGTCTTATAGCTCTTTTTACCTCCTGCTTGGAGTACCCATTTCCTTCAACTGCTGATTTTATGTGTTGCATCTCGTCCTGAAGGTATCTGGGTTCACAAATCCGGATTGCCCTGTCAGATAGAGTTTTAAAATGACTCCTCTCTTTTGGCTCGGATGGTGATGGAATTCCTTGTTGAGGTATCTGTCCGTATGCGTCGGCTTCCTATATACTCTGTGTCCCAGTTTACCTGAGGGTAATCTTTCTAGGAGAACGTCCACGAATACAATTATTAAGTAGTCCTTCTGAACTTCTATCGTAAACTGTATCCTGGGATCCATTGAGTTTAGATGATTAGGGAAGTTTTCGAGCTCTGCCAATCCATGTTTCCAAACAACAAAAGTGTCATCTACATAGCGAAACCAACAAGTAGGTTTCTTTGTGGCCGTTCGCAGTGCTATTTTTTTGATGTGTTTTATGTAGAAGTTGGCGATATCCGGGCTGAGTGGACTCCCCATAGCGACTCCATCTAAATTTGGCTATGCTGTATGTGGGCGAATCTATTGCACTAACAATGGGTCTGGGTGGGTAACTTGTTTTGTGAATCTTCGGAAGCCCATATATTCTAGGTAGTGAGGCCTTAGATTTGATGAGTTTCCTTATGTTTTCCGGGTCATTCATAGTCAGTCACGTTCATGATTACCGTTGCGTTTCCTTTATTCGTAGGCAAGACTAGTATGTCCTTGTCTGTATTCAGGCTGCGAATAGCTTGCCTTTCCTCGTATGTCAGATTGCACATTGGAGGTTTCGGTAGTCGTAGAATCCTAGATGTTTCATTGCGTATTTCCTCCGCAGTGGTTTGAGGTAATGTGCCTATGCTGGCTTCCACATTTTCTATGATGTCTTCGAATGGCAGGTCTTTCGATGTTATTGCAAAATTGCCTCCTTTTCTTAGAATACTGGTTTACGACTCAGTCAGAACGCGTTGGGTCAGGTTGACAACTCTGCGATCATTGCCTGTGGGTTTCGCAGTGTTCAATGGCTTCAAGGGCTCAAACTTATTTACCAGTTTCTCGGTTGTTTTTGCTATTGTGGCTTCCGTCACGTCATACGTCATTCGGTCAATTTTGTCCCAGTCACTCCAATGTATGCTGTTGGATAACCTTTGGTCTATCGATAGAAGATCCTTGTCCATAGTTGCTAGGTATTTCCTTGTTTGGTGAATCCGTTCCCGAAGCAAGGCTCGTTCTGCTCGTTCGAAAACTTTGTTAGATTGGAGAGATTTAAAAAGGACACCTCTTGAAACGGTTGGCGTCTATAGAATTCCTTGCTCTTGTAGATCTGTCTATGTAGGAACAACCAAACGCTCTATCAACACTAGGGTCAAAGAGCACAAAAGAAACTAGTAGCAGGGACAAATAGATAGATCAGCAATCGCCGAACACGTGTTAACACAAACAAACCATGTCATTCGTTTCGACCAGACTCAAGCATTGGATAGAACCAAAGATTTTTACACCAGACTCCACAGAAAAACCATAGAAATACAGAAACACCAAGACAACTTCAACAGAAAGGAAGAGGGCATGAACCTTAACCCGGGAGTACACCCGTGCCGGTCAAAAGGACCGACCATTGATAAAATCAGTAATTACGCCACTGGTATAAGGGTGACAGTTTTGTCCATCCAGGAATGCCTGATGCAGGTTTTCCACTACCCATTGGCCCAAAGATATTTTGGTTTTTGGTTGAAGAAGGGTTCGTTGTTTTCATAGTCGGTGCTTTTGACTAGGAGCGTGAACCTGAGTATCTGAAATATTTGCGTTCAAAATTGGCATTTTCTGAAATTGGGAGTACTTTTGGCTGTCGATAATACGGTAACTGTACTGCATAATATAATTCCCTTTGTAATAATTATGAATTCCATCAGGCATTATAGTGCTTGTACACTTTTCTCGCGAAGACGGTCCCAAACGTATCCTGAACGCTAAGGCATGACTTACGCAGGTAATATTTGAAAGTTTCATGTCTCTATTGATTAGTAAACTTGCGTAGGTCATGCCTTAGCGTTCAGGATACGTTTGGGATCGTTTCCGCGAAAAAAGCTAATAAATCATATAAACTTTTGGGCAGTCGGTCGATTTGACCGAACGCGTGTAATGACGTAAGTTTTTTGGCGCGCGTAATGCCGGGTTAACAAAAGCTGGTTGCCAGTTCTCCGAAAAACAAAGGCCCTTCCTTTCCGAAAACGAGACAAGGAAAATAGCGTAATATAAGCCACGCCCACAACGTCGGATCCAGTTATCGGAGGAATACGGAAGAGAACACTACCACACCGCCTCTGAAGATGTCTACCGCAGCAGTAGACGAAACTTTAGGTAGAAACAAGGATAATACCAATACTAAGGATTGCTTATCAGCCTCGTTTATGGTAATCGCCGCCATATAAGTGTGTCACCATTTCCGACGTCATAATTAAGTCGTCAGCTGTTTGAACTAGCGTTTGTAGTTTAGAATTTAAATTTATGAAGAAAATTATCAATTTTGATTAACATATTAGGCAAAAAGGAAGATGAAAACGAGATCTGAAAAAGGGTTATTTTTGAATGCTGAGTAATGTAGTAAAACCAAGTATACATAAAACAAAGGCCCGCGGAATAATACTCTGTGGTGCAAACAGCCTACGTCAAGGCAAGAAACGACATGCTGCCTACGTCACAACTGGTGATTTGGCGTGGTGGAGGCTCCAGATTTGTTCCACGCAGGCCTTATGAGGATAGGGTATCCTGTAGTAGTAGTGTGTATTATCCTTGAGGTAGAAATATTACTACACCTTTTTCAATTGTAATTCAGAAAATCAAAGTTTAATTTCCGATAAGGGAACATGTATTTTAGAATAGGAACTTATAATTCAGAAAAGAGAAAATTTGAGAATTGTAACTTTAATTTCAGAATAGGGAAAATGAAATTCAGATTAGGAAGTTGAAATTCAGAGAAGCAAAATTGTAATTCAGAATAGTAAATTGAAATTCAGAAACTGTAAATTATAATTTAGAAAAGGGAAATTGTATTTCAGAAGGTGAAAATTTGATTCCAGATAATGGAATTTGTAATTCAGAAAAGTTTAATATGCACATGATAAGCCATGTACAAAGATACAGAGCACAGGTACAGAGAGTGAGAGAGCAACCCAACACTCAACCACCTTCCATGCCGTGGCGCTAGCATTAGAGGATATGCCAGTTGGTCAGTGACTGAAATTTTTAATTGCATTTAAGGAAATTGAGTTTTCAACTTACTTTTTGGTAATTTTTTTGGTACCTATATTAATTTTTAACATTTTTCATCAAAATGTAATTATGTGCTTAGGTATAGGTTACCTACTGAATAAAAACTTAATATGTATGATTACCATTTTTTTTATTCGGATTAGCAAAGAACATTTTTATGTAAAACTCTACTAAAAATCCCGTGTTTAGTGACACAAGATTCAAAATTGAAAAAAAAAAATACACTCATGATTCTGAAATACATGTTACCAATTCTGAATTACATTTTTCCCTCTCTGAATTACATATTCCTATTCTAATTTACAAATTCCCATTTATGAATATTACGTTCCTTTTCTAAATTTCAAATTCCATATTCTGAATAATAATTTCCTATTCTGAAATTTAATTTCTCTTTCTCAAATACATTTTCCGCCTTCTGAATTACAATTGGAAAAGGTGTAGACCACGGCATTATAGCCTGGAAAAAACTTTTTTACTAGATTTGACCGACCGTGAAAGCCTTCATTCTTTATTTAT